GAAGAGAAGTAACAAAAAGTAGAGAAGAAATTAATGAAATAGAAACAAAGAAAACAATACAAAGAATCAATGAATCTAAGAGCTGGTTTTTTGAAAAGCTAAATGTAATAGATAGCCCCTTATCCCAGTTAACCAAAAGAAAGAACAAATCCAAATCAACAAAATCAGAGATAAAAGGAGAAACATCAGAACAGATACCCAAAAGATCCAGAACATTATAAGGAAACACTTTAAAAACCTATACTCTATTAAACTTGAAAACCTAAAAGAAATGGATGATCATCTAAAATCATGTGGGAACTACCAAAGTTAAAGTAAGAAGAGATCAACAGTTTAAAACAGACCCATAACATATAAGGAAATCAAAACAGTAATACAAGACCTCCTGACTAAAAAAAGCCTGGGCCCAGATAGATTTACAGCAGGATTCCACCAAACATTTAAAGAAGACCTCCAACCAAAATTACTTAAACTACTCAAAATGATAGAAACAGAGGGAGAACTCCCAAATTCCTTCTATGAAGTCAGCATCACTCTAATACCAAAACCAGGTAAACACACAACCAAAAAAGAAAACTACAGACCCATATTCTAAATGAACATAGATGCAAAAATTCTCAAAAAAATACTTGCAAACCGCATATATACTTACATCAAAAAGATCATTCACCATGATCAACTAATCTTTATTCCAGAGATACAGGGATGGTTCAATATATACAAGTCAATAAACATCAAAAATCATAAAGATGGACTCAAAGACAAAAAAAAAAACACATCATCATCTCAATAGATGCAGAAAAGGCCTTTGACAAATTCAACATGCATTCGTGATAAAAATTCTAAAGAGAATGAATTGGAGGGAATATACATCAACATAATTAAAGCTATATACAACAAACCCACAGCCAACATCATTCTAAATGGAAAAAAACTGGAATCATTCCCATTAAAATCAGGATCTGGACAAAGATGTCCACTATCTTCACTCCTTTTCAATATAGTTTTCAAAACTCTTGCTAGAGCAATAAGACAAGAGAAGGAAATTAAAGGAGTACTAATTGGAAAAGAGGTCAGATTATCTCTTTTTGCAGATAGGATATTATAACTAAGAGATGCCAAGAATTCTACCAGAAAACACCTAGAAACTATGAACATTTTCAGGAAAGTGACAGGTTACAAAATTAATCTACAAAAATCTATAGCCTTTCTATATACCAATAACAAGCGATTGGAGAATGAGTACGAGGATACCCTCCCATTCACAACAGCCTCAAAAAAAAAAAAAATCTTGTAATAAACCTGACAAAAGACAACAAAGATCTCTACAACAAAAATTTTAAATATTTAAAGAAAGAGATTGAGGAAGACACCAGAAGATGGAAGGACCTCCCATGCTCATGGATTGGAAGACTTAATATTGTGAAAATGACCACCCTATCAAAAGCAATATATAGATTCAATGCAATCCAATCAAAATCCCTATGACATACTTCACAGAATTAGAAAAAAACATGTTTAAATTTATTTGGAAGCACAAAAGACCCCGGATAGCTAAAGCAACCCTGAGCACAAAGAGCAATGCAGGGGGGGTTACTATACCAATCTCAAAGTATACTACAGAGCTGTAGTCATAGGAACAGCATGGTACTGGCACAAAAATAGGCATACAGATCAATGGAACATCATTGAAGATCCAAACCTCAGTACATGCAAATCAGCCACCTGATATTTGATAAAGATGCCAAGAACACACAATGGAGGAAAGACAGCATCTTCAACAAATGGTGCTGGCAAAACTGGATCTCCATTTGTGGATGAATAAAACTAGATCCTTATCTTTCACCTTGCACAAAAGTCAATTCCAAATGGATCAAAGACCTCAATGTGAAACTGGAAACTCTGAAACTACTAAAAGAAAACATTGGCAGTAACCTTCAAGATACATGTATAAGAAAAGACTTTCTAAGTCAGACACCAGTTGCTCAGTAATTAAGGTCAACAATCAACAAGTGGGGCCTCATAAAACTAAAAAGCTTCTGTAAGAAAAGAAACAAGGCTGGGTGTGGTGGTGCATGCCTTTAATCCCAACACTCGGGAGGCAGAGGCAGGCAGATCTCTGTGAGTTCAAAGCCAGCCTGGTCTACATAGGTAATTCCAGGACAGCTGGGGCTATAGGGAGACCCTGTCTCAAAAAGACAAAAAAAAAAAAAAAAAGAAAGAAAGAAAGAAACAAGAAAGTGAAGAGAAAACCCACCCACAGAGTGGGAAAAAATCTTCACCAGTGACACATCTGACAGAGGTTTAACATCCAGAATATGTAAAGAACTCAAAAAACAAAGAATTAAGAAACCAAACAATCCAATTAAAAGATAGGCTAAAAATCTAAACAGAGTTCTCAAACGAAGAAATGAAGATGGTTAAGAAACATCTTAAAAAGTGTTCAACATCATTAGTAATTAGGGGAATGCAAATTAAAACTGCCTTAAGATTTCACCTTACCCCAATCAGACTGGCTAAGATCAAGATAACAAATGATACAAAATGCTGCCAAGGATGTGGAGAAAGTGGAACGCTAATTCACTGCTGGTGGGATTGCAAACTTGTGCAACCCCTATAGAAAGCAGTGTGGAGAACTCTTAAAAAACTAAAAATGAACCTACCATATTACCCGGTTATACCACTCCTTGGCAGATACCCAAAGGACTCATCGTATTGCAGAGATGCTTGTACAACTACATTTGTTGCTCTTTTCATAACAGCTAAGAGATGGAAGCAACCTAAGTCCCCTCAACTGATGAGTGGTTAATGAATATGTGGTATATTTCCACAATGGAGTTCTATTCAGCAGTAAAGAAAGATAGAATAATGAAATCTTCAGGTAAGTGGATGGATGTAGAAACTGTTATACTAAGTAAAGTAACACAGACTCAGAAAAACAAAAGATGTATATATACTTTCATGCCGGGCGTGGTGGCGCACACCTTTAATCCCAGCACTCCGGAGACAGAGGCAGGAGGATCTCTGTGAGTTCAAGACCAGCCTGGTCTACATAGTTAGTTCCAGGACAGCTGGGGCTACAGGGAGACCCTGTCTCAAAAAGACCCCCCCCCAAAAAAAAAGATGTATACTTTCCCTCAGTTGTGGATCCTAGCACCTGATCCTTGTGAGCGCATATCCTGATGTAACCGCAGGAAACAGGAAAGTGAAAGGAAACCAAGGAGGTAAAGGGAAAAGAGGAACCCGAGATAGAAGAATAGTAGGAGACAGGTGTCACTAAGGGAGAAATGTGTAAAAAAGGGATAGTTAAAGGGGAGGGGGAGAAGGAGGGTATACAAAGAACTATGGGAAGAAAAGGGGAAGAAGGAGCTCAAGAGAGGTGGGACCATAGCAGACAGAAATTATCAAGGGAGAAATGGGGAAAATGGGGACACTTTAAATGGGAAGGGTGGGGAGGGAAGATAAGACAGGGAAAGGAGGAGACAAATAGTCTCTACCTAGTATAAAAAAAAACAGAGGGAATGCTATTAGTCCAAAAACCTATTGAAAAATTACACATACAATATCTTGACATGAGTCGCTGTGTATATTTGAAAGCAACATAACAAGAAACAGTTCCAGATAGGAAAAACCTTCCTTTTGAGTTGCTGGCCAGGCAGTCCAAGAGATTCCCAAAATTATACAGGCTACTGACACAATCCTTGATTGCCTCCCAGAACTTGATGGTAAGACCCTATGCTGAAGAAAGGACATACTTTGGACACAGGATTTAGAGCAATGACCTGGAAGTCACCTCCCCTGAAGGCTAGCTCTCACAGCTTTGGAGAGCACTACGCAAGGATAAGGGAGAACATCAATTGATGGTACAACCCTAGCTTCAAGGCCTAAAAACCACATCAATGACCAGCCGAGCAAATGACATTGGTGCTGTAGTGACTCACTAATCAACAGCTATCTAATTCGACTTAAAGCCCACTCAGTGGGAGGAAACTCATGTCTGATACTGTAAACCTAGCCAAATACACATAGCTGGAGAGGTCATAAATCTTAAAGAAAACCCCAAGGCTCTCATATTCCTAGACAAATGCAAAATATGGATCCTTAAATTTACAGATAAGTATCCCAGTCACCATTCATTAAAGCACCTTCTTTTCAACAGACAGAGATTATTACAGAGTTATACACCACTGGTCACACACAGAGATTCTCTGTGAATTGCCCAAGCCTAAGTGGCGCATTTAGGATCCAACCTCTACATCTAAGATTCATGGAACATAGAACAAGGGATGAAGAGAACACTAATGCATCTTTCAATTCTCATCAATGAAGCTCCCTCATGCAACAGAGGGCCAAGAACACAAAAGGCCATACGGGTCCTTGGCCAGGACTCCTATATTGAGGTCCATCTACCCAGGGCTCAGGGACCACTGTGGAACAGGGGGCAGAAAGACTGTTAGAGCCAAGGAGGAGGTGCTTGACCATATGGAAATAGTCCTACAGGCACCTGGGACCCTTCTTATACAAACCTACAGCAATGGTGTCAGCATGCACAAGACCTATGCAAACTTAGGCAGACAAAAACCCAGCAGAGAACTGTGGAAATGAACAGCAAGCCCCAATCTTAGTCAAAGAAATATTGGTATAGCTGTTTACTGCTGGGTGAGGAAGAGCTGATCTTCTTAAAGAGAGGTACTCTAGACAGGCTGACTAGATTCCAGTGGATGAACTTACACTGAGGGACATCTGGGGACACTAACTTTCCATGATAGGCCTTAAAATAAATGACACTCCCTTGAGGGGGGAGGGGGGAGGTATAAAATGATTTTCTGTATGAAATACACAAAAATTCAATTAAAAAAGAAGTTTAAAAAGTTATGTGATACAGAATGGTCAGTGGAAATCTGTTAAGTGAGCCAATAAAATATCCTTTCTCTTATTTACAAAGTTGTGTCACTACTCCACCCCAACGCCTTTGTGATTAGAAACATCTACCCATATACCTTTTTAAAGAGTCTTCCTGAGTCCTCGCTGACTTGGACAAATCGAGGAATTATATTATTCAGGTAGATATCACTCAGGGTGGTATGGTCCCTGCTTTCCCGCTTCACCTGGTTTAAGAGGAGATTCCAGCAGTTGACTGGAGAGAGAACATTCTGATCCTTCCTGCACAGAAACAACAAGAAAAAAAAATTAGTGTTGATACACATTCAGGGTCAGCAGCTATGATTATAGTTTGTATCACAAAAATCATAGCAGTCAAAGCAGAACCAGAAATAAAGGTACTTCTTAAACCCTACAGCTGTGGTTTGAATGTGAAATGCCCCTGCCCCAAGCTTTTTTTATTTTTTGTAATTTTGAACCCTAGCTACTCTTTGGGGAAGAGGATCAATGGGGGAGTGGGCTTTCAGGTTTATAATCCAACTCTACTTCAGACCCTCTTTGCTTCCTGGTCTACTATATGTGAATAAGCAGCAACCTTGTGTTCTCTCCACCAAGGAACCCCCTGCTGCTGAGCTCCCCTGACATGATGTGCTCCCTTCCAATCAGTCAAAATGAGTACTTCCTTTCTTAAGTTGCTTCTGATCACCACAGCAATGCAGAGAAAAGAAATAACTGTACACCTACATCACTACATTTTTCCTTTTTTTAGAAAACTGGACAAAATAGGCAAAAATAAGATGAGCAAGAGGGAAAGGGATAGAAAGACACAGGATTTCTTATTGAACACTACTGTGTCCAAAGAACACGGTAAAAAGCATGAAATGATTAAAAAACTGAAGCTCTGAAATGATTAAACAACTGAAATGATTTAAAAAACTGACTTAGGGAGTCACACAGTAACAGGAAGTCAGAGTCTAGAACTACAGCTTTGCACTGTCTGACTAGAATAAGCCTGACTACAAAGTCCATAGCTTAGACATTTGGTCATCTGTCTTTATGGTTAGGGACAAAAGCTAAAGATTTTATCATAGACAAAAATCACTGGAGCACTACAGTTAACTAAACCCCTACAAGTTTATATACTGTAGGATTCAGAAAGACAATGTTGAAGATATCTACCATTAAATATTCACCAAAGACTCCAGTTCCATGGAAAACATCTCAAGAGATTTTTATTTCATTGACTGAGCCATTATCTCATGGCCCATATAACTAAGGTCTTTGGTCTTTAACTTACCTAAACATACGTATTCCTAACGTTCATACTTCAGTAGAGCCATAAACAACTTCTTTTTCTTTCTCTTTCGTTTCCCCTTTGGTCTTTTTGAGACAGGGTCTCTCTGTAGCTCCAGGTGTCCTGGAACTCACTATGTGGACCAGGCTGGCCTTTAACTTACAGAGATCTGCCTGTCTCTGCCTCCTGAGTGCTAGGATCACACCCAGCTCAAGCCATAAACTTCTAAATCTATATGTTCATTTCAAATGAAAATAATGTTGATTTCCAAAGAATTTTCATTACTCAGTTCACAGTACTAATTTAAATGATAGGAAGTTATATAACTTGACCACAGATTTTTCTCTAAGAAGAGAAAATGGAAGTAGGTTCATTTGTTGTGCCACTTAATCAAGGGATACTATGTGCATAGGATTTGGTAGGGCCCTTTACATATATTGTTTAATTTAAACCCTACAACTAATCAAGAGGTGATCTGAATGATCAGGAGAGTAGAACAAAAAAAAAAAGGTTAAAACTTTTAAGTGACAGTAAAAAGTGGCAATGCTAACCTTATTGGATGTTTAACAGCCATAGTTTGAGGCCTATACTAATGTGGTCAGAGAGACTTAAAGGACAGTTTTCACTCCTTGCCCTCCAAGGACAACAAATTTCCAGGAAGGACTATGGAACATCTGTAAAAATGTCCTGAAACTGTGGCAAGTCACTTGTCCTCTTGTTCAGGGAGGAGATGGAGACCCCATGCCATAGACTCGAACCAGTGTCTAGTCTACAAAGAGGAGGGTCAACTCAGAGGAAACATCTCATTCATGCTTCCAAGTGAAGCCAAACATGGTCGAGCAGGACCTTTGACTTATCTTCACATAGATGGAACTGGTAAAAGAAAGGAGCCAGGAGTGCCTCCCATGCCCATGTGACCCCTGAGGAACAGATCCTCAAATGACCTTAAGTGTAAAAATAAATCGATTTATTTGGGCCAACTGTATGGTCTTAAACACCCAAAAGGAAAGTATAACCAAAGAGTAAAGTCATCAGTATATTTCTTTAAGAGTCAAAGGATTACACTTCCCAGACATTAGGGTTAAGTCTCTATAAAAAGTTATTTAGACAATTATTTCTCATTGATGATTTTGTTTCTAAGCAGAAAGTGCTGCTTAGATGTAAGACTTCAAATCTTGGTCTCCAATACTGTGGTGCCCACCTATAGCTAAGGGAGACAACCAGCTATTGTTCTAAAATGATGGATAAATTTGTTTTCTCCCCCATCTAGAAGCCTTTGAGAGGGAACTGACACTGATTCTACAGCTATCAAAATACCTGAAAGCAAATCCTGAATCCATCACTCTGGAGTCCAGCCTTGGAAGACAAAAGAAAAATGAGGAGGAATCCAATAGAGGGATGCTTTTGGAAGCCATTTGACAAGAAACTCCAATGACTCTCATATGAACATTTGAAAATTGCCCTGTTCTGACTTTTTTCCTGTCTAGAACTTATAATGCTAATTATTCTCATCTTTACTTTCCTTCACATCTTCTATTCATGATCCAAGGACTTTCTTTTCCCCTTAGAGGTAAGAGTTATGCAATTTGTGAATCTTTTAGATAGACCCACTGAAGGGGTACTCCAATAGCCTTACCCTGAGTTTCTGTTCAGCATGAAAGAAGCCAGAGTGGTCTGCATCCCAATTCCCTATTGGCAATTTGGGTAACCTCTTCAGAGGGTGGTGTGATAAGAATAGGAGGTAGGAACTGGCTAGGCAGTTAAGGTAAAAAGACATCAAAGAAAAGTAGCCAGTTTCTTGGCTAAAAGCCAAAATGTCCTTGGGCCTATTAGCAACATACTCTGTTCCAAAGGCCCAAAATGTGCAAAGTATTTGGGAGCTTGTACCTAATCTTAAAAGATTTTACAGTTACCTCTTCAGAGAGGTGAATGTTAGAGTAGCCAAAAGCCCCATAAAAATAAATAAATAAATCAAAGAAGAAGAAAGAGTACATGAAGTTATCAGAAAAAAGTGATGGGGAGATATGGGAGGAGTTGGAGGGGAGGGAGTAGGCATGGATTTGATCCAATCACCTTATATGCATGTATGAAATCCTCAATAAATTATCTATTTTTTTTAAAGTGGCAATGCTAGGACTGACCAAGTATGTAATTTGCAAAGGGTACTCTTAACCACGAAGAGGAATCAAACATATGAATTCTCCTTTTCCCTTCCTTCTCTCCAGACGCTAGGTGCAAAAATAGTGAGCTGACAGCAGCACTGCCTCCATCAAGAGCTGGAGGCTACTGAGCACCGAGCTGTGGTCTGTAAAGCTGATAGTTCAACTCAAGAGTTTTCCAATTCTGCTATTAACAAATAATGTCACCATATCACTTTGGGCTTCAGAACACAAAGGAACAGCAAATCACTTATCTAATCAAATCTAAGAAGATGCTTCAAACCAATACATCTTTGAGTCTAAACTAAAACTATTCTAAGCCTGTCCCCTAAGCTACTCTGTCATACTTCTTCAGATAAAACTGCTATTGCTAAGGATCAAATACTGGGGCAACATTATGTCCTTTCTAGGGAAATTAAAAGACTTCCCAGCACTTGAGAGGCAAAGACAGGTGGATCTCTGTGACTCTGAGGCCAGACTGGTTTACAAAGTGAGTTCCAGGTCATTCGGGCCTACAGGGAGACTGTCTTTACACAAACACACACACACACACACACACACACACACACACACTACGGGGGAAAGATGCATATGATTCATTCAAAATGTTTAGTATTGGGGGGAATTAACAGAAAACAATCCTAAATTCAAAATGGTGACAGATTTAAAGCACATATATTCAATGATATTTGATAGTCCTACTTCGAGGACACATCTCAAATCTACTCCAAATCAGTTTTAGTTAGTTATACCATTATACATACAATTATTATATAGTAATTAATTATATTTATTAATATACTTCATATATTTAACATATTATATAATAAACATAAGTACATTAATTATAATTCTTACATAATAAATAATTTAAAACTATTTAATGAGGGCTGGCAAGATGATGGTTCAGGGGGTAAAAGTGCTTGCCATGTAAACTTAATGACCTGAGTTCAATCCCCAGATCCTACAGTATACAAAGAGAATCAACTCCTGAAAGTTCTCCCCTAACTGCCAATGTGTGCCATGACATGCATGTATATATATCACAATAATAAGCAACTTTGTTTAAAAAATAAAATTTACATTTTTTCTGCTAGTTTCTCTTGACAAGATATTAATGCCCTCAGTAAGTACAGAATGTCTCAGGCTTTTTGCAAAGGGCAGATTTCACAAGATCTTAAGTTTACAATTGGCTTCATTTGCTTCTCGAGAGAGCAAAAGGAGGGGTTGGTGGTCTATGTTGAATTCATGGTAGACCATGGCTAGCAAGTGAGAATCAATATATTCAGTTTTATTATTTCATTATCATTGTTACAATGCTTATTATAAATGTTAGGGCTTCTGTCAGTATTTATAATGGGAATAGTTGCTAGGTAGTGTTAGTGACTTAATTTTAAAATAAAAAACATTATTCTTTGGCTGCTGGGCATGGTGGTGCATGCCTTTAATCCCAGTACTCAGGAGGCAGAGGCAGGTGGATCTCTGTGAGTTCAAGGCCAGCCTGGTCTACATAGTGAGTTCCAGGACAGCTGGGGCTATAGGGAGACCCTGTCTCAAAAAGACAGAAAAAAAAAAAAAAAGAAAAGATATTATTCTTTGGTAAACATCTAAACCAACTTGAAACTATGCCATGATTACAGTGACTTGTGTGAATCAGTGTTTTGCTTTGTTTTGTTTTGCAGGGAGGGGGAGAGACACTTCTGTACATTGAATTAGGGTCTTATACATGCCAGGCCAGTATTCTAATATTCCCATCTTGCAAGATTTTTAAAAATTAATTATTTTTGTTTTTTATGTGTATGAGTGTACTGCCTATATGTATGTAAGAG